TATCGCGATGTTTTTGGCACAAAAACAGCCACACAAGCAAAATAATCGAGAATTAGTTGCTTTAATCCAAATATATTATTATAAACAAAGCTTTCTGTGAAATTCACAGACACACTAAAGACTGGAGGAGAGAGAGAGAGAGAGAGAGAGAGAGACGGGGAGAAGCAGAGACCGACAGGCAGAGTGACAGGCGGAAAAGAGAAAAACACATAATCTCAGCTAAATTAATGAAAGCAGAGAGAGAATCCGAGAGTCAGCGGCTGCTTCGTCCAAATGGCTCCTGCACACAGACAGGAAATGAAGCCAGGCGAAGCCACGCTTGGCGGCTGTTTATCCGGCAGCAGCGGGATCCGTGTTCTTGGATCAGTTTCAACTTTTTGCCCAAAATGGTTGTTATTAGGACGGGGCTTTGGGCAGACTTATCCAGGATCAGCCCCGTCCAGCTGCCAGAGTCAGATCAAACCAGCAGCAGTTCATCCGATGGAGTCGCTGCTTCACGTACAAACAGATGGACCAGAGGACGTATGGACGGATAAAGAGGGGGATATATGGTGCATTGCACTATGGGAGGTTCATGGTGATTTTATGAATATGCACGTAAACATGTGTACAGTTTGTACTTTTTAAAATATTATTATACATTTTTTTTGACTATATGATCCGTTAAATGCCCGACCATCAGTCCAAAATCCAAAGATGCTCAATTTCCAATTACATGAAGAAAGAAAAGCAGAAAATCCTCACAGTGGTGACGTTGGAAATGAGCAAATGTTGCTTGACAAAGGCCATAAAGCTGCAATAATGGATTTTTTTGGCCACTTCGGGGCAGCGGAAACCAACGTAACATTGACATAATATCACCTAATGAGTCTGATTTTGCAAAAGTGTTAGCAAATTACTTATTTACACATTTAGCAGATTCAGAGAAACGCTAGCAGTTAATTAGAGTCATGTTTCTGGCCACCTGATGAATATAAGTCCAACATTCACTCTGCTTTTGGTCTCTACCGACTCCTGAGAGAAGTATCTGGCTCTTTGGCTGTAAATGCTCCACTGTGTTCACAAGCTACTCTATGCTACTTGGTGCTGAGCAGGGAGCTTTTCTTTTTTGCTTAAAACAGCTGCTGAAAACGAGAGCGGGAAGACTGAGCCAAAACAGCTGCACAATGACCTGAAAGAAGCTAAAATGCTTCCATGGATCAGAGAGGAACTGCAGAGATTTACTGTAACTGCTCTTCAGTGCGAGTTACCCCTTCCACATACACAAAGTCATTCAGTGCATTCCTACCTATTTCTACAGCAGCTTCAATTTAATGGAATTTGCTGCTGAATATTTTTTTAATTTCTAGCGAGATTCAGGTTCAGACGCAAGATGGGCGGATTATTTACAGGGAAGAAAATAAAACTAGGTGATGCTTGCTGCAGATGTCGTTGAGTTCACTGTAACAATAGAGCGTTGTGTCTAAAAACTGGCAGTTTGGACGTAGTTAAATTTTATTTCCACAACAGAAACATGCATAAAAGGAAACATTGTTACCAGAGAAATTAAATCAATTAAAAAACCTTCATATGGTAACACTTTAAGTGTTTTAGAACTTCTCCTATAGGGTCATAGTTGCTTCCATGTCTCCTTCTCTTCTTCAGGACTGAAATGGGTTAACATGTGAAATAAATAAGTAATTGTTTACAGTAACTTTCCCTTCTGGAGTTTTGTGCACTCAGTGTTTGGTAAGAACGGATATTCGTGGTTTATTTTTCTATTTTTGGGAGTAAGTTGACCAGTAAGAGCAGCATCACATGGGCAGTTTATTTGTAGGTTGCAGAGTTTAGTTTCTTGTTTTTGGCGCAAACAGTAGCATCAGAACACCGGTGGCATCTGATTACGACACCGAAATGCTTGGAAATCCTCTTCAAGAGAAGAGGAATCAGGTTTAGACTCTTCTGCCAAAATGTCAAACTCTGCAGGGCGACAGGCTGCCAAGACTCTGGCCAATCATCAAGCTACTGTATTTCTGAGTGCATGTGACTTTTGCTGATAAGCCTCAGTCTGATTGCTGGGAGCCCATTTCCACTCTGGTTTTGACCAAAACCAACTATAAAGGATAATAACTGTAGAGGAGGACGGTGCATTCATGTCACACTGGAGTTTCTGTAAATTCAAGCTCTCACCTGGGGGACAAAAACCATTCAGATATACCTTGTAGTGGTCGACACAAGTAGGAAACGTGAATATATTTTTATTCAGTTGCTCACAAAACTCACAAATTGTGTAAAAGTGTCTGTGAATGTCGGTTCCTTTGCTTGTCTCTGAGGAGTCCAGCTTTTTTTCCACTACTTAAGACAGATTTTATCTCAGAGTTTGAACTTGAAAACCACCATTCACAAAGTTTATATACCCAGAATTCCCCACTCTTATACAAGCACTGCACGCTCAGTGTGAAATCAAGTGTTTTCAGCTGGATTTCAGGGAGAACACGGGGGTGTTTCGACCGTTCTACTTCCCCTCAAATGTCCCACCCCCCGCCTGCCACGGAGCATCAGTCTGACTCCTCAGAGCCTGTGGAGGTTTTGGTTGTGGTATCTGCGGTCGACTCGCATAATAAAATGACTGACAGCTCACAGCAGCCGTCAAGTAGCAAATCAGCATCAGTCGTGCCGCTCTGACTGATATTTAACAAAACGTTCCGGTTCCCTGACGGCTGAGGACATTTCTGTGCTTTGTGGTTTGATACTAGATCTTTTAAAATAAAGATGCGTCAGTCATGCTGAATCTTTACAGTCCATCATTAATGAGAGGGATTCTGGATGAGTTTGTCAAAGAGACAACATCACTTCCTCTCATCTCTGCTGGTAAAAAATAACCAGGCAAATTACGTGCTGTAAACATGTCTCTTTTCTGTTTAATTTGCTCAAGTATCTGAAATCTTTCCACTACAGTTTCAGTCGATATTGGTCACCAGCTCTGCAGTTATTTATAATCTGTGGCTCGGAGCCCGGAGCTCCAAAAAAGCGTCTTACAAATGCTGCCACAATAGAGCTCAGACTGGTTCTGGATGATTGCTCAACTAACACTTGTATTCCAAAGAGGAAACGTTTAGAAAAATCTGGTTTTCTTGTTGTTGTTGTTTTTTTCCCCCAGTTATCAGACATTTAAATTGAATCAGCATTAGCAGCAGTATAAGCTGGTATGGAGGTACGACTGTGAATAGACTCGCTGTTCTTGGTTCTATATTCGGAAAAGAAAAGCAGCGCTAATGCAGAATAGCTTCCGGGTAAAAGCATCACAGAGGAGTTTTACATTCGCTGCTACACTATTTAGTAGCAGCACTCAGGAATAGCTTGAACTGATTTAGCTTTATGTCACACTGTCACACTGATAATGCACCACATCATCTTTTGACTTCCTGCTTCCTATTGTAAACTTTATTTTATTTCATTCCATAGCACTGATGTTTAACACTATTATTGTGCCACACATGAAACATCTTCCTATTAAAGCCTGCTGGAATCTGACTGATGAGGAAAAAACAGCTCTGACATTTTCTATATATAGAGCTAAATGCTTCAGCAGGCACAAGGGATCTGATTCCAGATCAGATTTCTTTTATTTCCTTGTTGTGGTTCAGATATGATCATCATGTCTCCCATGACGCACCACAAAGGGTTAAACACAAACCTGATCTTTCCTGCTTGTTGTAAGTCCAACATGATGTGAACCCGCTGCCCTGCTGAGCGTTTCTGACTCGACACCGCCACCCGGTGGCGAGTCTGCGTCACTGCGGTGACTGCAGGCAGCAGCAGAGTGAAGAAGCTGGTAGTTTCCTGCCTTATGCTGTTCACTTGTCATTAGACGTGCAAAAAAAAGATTTAAGGGAGAAGATGTGGGCGGATTTGATAGAAAAGCAAAAGCACTCGCATTCCTCCTCCTCCTCCTCCATTTTGAATTCAATTTAAACATATTGTCCGCTGTCTATAGGGTAATCCTCTTTATGGTCAACTCATCACAGAGGGCCTCATTCTTGGCTCGAGTGTGCAGCACATGTGACTTTGAAGCCAGCGGCCTGTAGATGAGCTCAACACCAAACCCTCATAGTACAGAGTTTGATCTGTGTAGGACAAGAAACACAACCAAGTTGCCTTTTATGTAGCTTTTTTATTCATTTTTAGGCAGTTTTTTTTGTGCTGTTATAGAATAGATTTAAATCAAGTACTTTTAATGCCCTAAAACAATATTTATATTTATTTTGTACAGCCTGCTCCTTTACAGTTGCCAGCTGTAGTCCTTGTAAAAAGGAAATGACACCACAACAACATTCTTACCATGTTTTGGCTCTGCTGGTTGAAACACAATCTGAGATCACGTCCGAAAGTCGAGGTTGGATGTGATCAGCTCGCCATCTTTAGCGTGTTAGCTCGGCCGCTGCATTCTGACATGCGGCCGTCCTTGGTGAGGGCAGATGGGCTCTAATCTGCAGATAAAACTAGATGATTGGACAACTAAACGAGTAATTAAGCCAGTCCTGCTGATTCTGTGTTTATTGCATCCGAATGGACTGTCAAACAGATTATAATTCACTGGAACTGTACGGACAATTAAACCAGCAATTAACCTAACCCTGACCTCCCCCCCCACCCCTTCTCTCTTTTCTTATGAATTATGTGTGTTTTTATTGATATGACTATCAGAAATTGCCGATAATAACAAAACAGCCTGCATAGAATAATCAGCAGATCAGGGGAATGACCAAGGAGATCGAAGTTCGAACCGCATTCACTCGACTTAATTGCTGACACTCCCCATCCTGCAAGATTCAAATTATTGAATATTATCGAGTTTAGCACTTCAGTTTGACTCTGACAGCTCGTATTGGTCGGAATCCCATTACAGTAATATCTTCTGTGAATCCGACCCTACAGGAGGAAGCTGGGATGAAAGCTTTATGCATTTTGTGCTGAACTCTGCAGGTAATTACAGTCCTCTCTCTCTATCTCCCTCTCAGGTGGTCAGGCGGTGCCTCAGGACCCGTCACCCACTTCTACCTGCCCTCCGGTACCCCCCGGACCTCCGGCGGGCGCCAACGGCAGCAGCGACATCATGGTGAACTTTGACCCCGACCCGGCAGACCTGGCGCTGTCCAGTGTGCCGGGCCAGGAGGCGTTTGACCCGCGGCGGCACCGCTTCTCTGACGAGGAGCTGAAACCCCAGCCGATGATCAAGAAGGCCCGCAAGATGCTGGTCCCAAATGAGCAGAAGGTACTACATCTCCCACAATTCTTTGCTGTCCTACAGACCAGCGTTTGTGATTATTCACTAATCGAGTAGGTTCACATATCTGTGCTTCTACTGGTTTTATGGTCTGTTTGAGGCAAATACAGGCAGGTGGAAATGATAATGATCTCACCTTTATATTTGTGGATGATTCAGGAAAATCTGTTTCTTGTTTCATACTTTGATTCATGATTAGTTTTAAATCTACATATTTAATTGAATACATTATAGCACTTCAATTTGCAGTTTTTAGGATTTTTTTGTCTTAAAGCTTCAAAAATATTCTGAAATCTGTAATTTGAGACCCTAAAATCTTACTTTCTTAGGATAAAAAAATGCAAGTAGAGCAAGAATACAACTTTTTCCAGTAATAAAATCTAAAAATAAAGTTATATTGGATATTTTATAAAATCGAATTTCATTTTTCACCCCCCTAATCTTTTGTGTTTCAAGATAGACGCCAATTTCCATAAAAGTGAGAAAATTTGGTTTTCAGGACTCTGATAAGATAAATAAAGAATCAAAAAAATACAACAGTATAAAAGTAAGTCACACCTCACATGATCATCTCTGTAAGACTGAACATTTAAATTAAAATAAAAGTCCAGGGAGAGACGCTGTGTTTTACAGTTTTCTAGAGATAGAGACTCACTCACAGATCAAAAGAGGTCAACGTTTTCCTTCAGTATTCAGTTCAGGCAGACGCCATAGCAGAAGCTTACAAACCCAGAACTTCATCACGACAAAGGCCACAGTTCTCTGACAGCTCCCGTACTGATGTGGAAAAAACTAAAGGAGCGTGACGCCCACTAGTATTGATGCCTCCTGACGAGAGTCCTAAAATATTTTATGCTCAGCTCATTGCACAATAGGAGAAGCTCTGATCAATGGCTCATGTTTTCATAGTTCAGCGCGGAGCAGCTGCAGCTCCTGAGGCGTTTGTAATTTATGGAGAGATGAAGGCGCTCACCTTGCCTCGTTCACCCGTAGCCACTTCTATAAATCATGTGTTCGCTGGTTTTGGAAAAATGATCTTGGACCAAAGTTAGAGATGAAGCTCGGATTGCTCTGCAGCTCCTCATAAATATGATTTTTAGATTCAACACTTTGTTTAATACCAACCTTCTACTGAGGAGTTGGAAACTCTGGCTATGATCAAAAGGTGAAAGGTATTCCAGGATCCCAACATTAAGGAGAATTAGAGTACATTAGTGCGCACAAGCTAACCTCAAAGCACCGATCACTCCTCGTAAAATGCAAAGGATAATGATGTAGTTTAATTATGGAATGTGAACTCTGCCAAATGTAAACAGATCCTGTAAAAGGCTCTCTGAGGAAACTCTACGAAGCAGTCGGGCCTGCAGTCATTCCACTGGCATAAATCTTTCAGATAGAGATCTCTACAAGGTTTTACTTTCAATTTGCACTTGTATTTTGCTCTCGAAGTTCAAAAGTTTAACACAACAGTCTCAGTGGTTTCCAATCTTCCTCTCGTGAGACCCTCATCTGCCAGCACATTTCTTTCGTGCCCCTGAAAAACACAATGCTGCAGACTTTTGTGAGGCTGCAGGGTGTTTGTATCTGCAGCGCCGAGTATTTATTCATTCAGCTGAGCACTCAGAAGGGCGGGACTGTACAGCAGCGTTAAGACAGAAGATGTATTAATACTATTTTCACTTGAGTCATTATCATTCTCCATCTCACCTTTGATCAATTATTGAATATTATTGATTTTACAACTTTTAAACTGTGTAGGTCTTTATATAGAAAGCTCTGGTCTCGTAATGTGTCTGTGTGTGTGTGTATGTGAGCTTTTAGTGTCTGTTCACACATGTTGACAGCCAATATGTACTGAAAGCAATAAAACATGAGGAGGTGTTCCAATATAAGGAACTAATGGATGAGGCAGCGTATGTTATTTTCTAGATTAGAACATCTTTGAGTGTATTATTGCTCTTATACAATGGTCACCAATTACAGGTAAAAAGAGCCTTAGCTTTACACAACCTGTATTTCTTTACTACACTGTAATTTGTGAGAAGAGGTATGTTTGAATATTTTCCGTGGCCATGGTATAAAATGACCTAATTTGGTCTTTTCGGGCAGCTGCTTGTGGTTTTTGTGTTCTGCAGTTACGAGTATTGAGCTGTTGCCACCTTTCCTCCTTCCTTTCCTTTCTTTCTTTCTCTCTCATCACACAACTGACCCTTCTCATACCGCTCTCGCCTCTTTTTTTTGTTCTCTGTCCTCCCCCCACCTTCCTCCCCACACACCCCAACATACCATACACCGCCGCCGATGATAGGACGAGAAGTACTGGAGCCGACGTGTCAAGAACAACGAGGCGGCGAAGCGCTCGCGGGACGCCCGGCGGCTGAAGGAGAACCAGATCTCTGTGCGCGCCGCCTTCCTGGAGCGGGAGAACGCCGCCCTTCGCCAGGAGGTGGCAGACATGAGGAAAGAGCTGGGCCGCTGCAGGAACATCATCAACAAGTACGAGAGTCGACACGGAGACTTGTGAGGAGGAGGAAGAAGAACAAGAGGAAGATGAAGGAGGAAGGGGCGGGAGGGGAGGAGGAAATTAGAAAAGGGTACAAGGCAACCCAACAACAGCAGCACTTTAGTTGAAGTGGCGAAGGGGGAGGAGGCCGGCGTAGATCTGCAGTAAGCGCTGTGCGACACCGGGCGCAAACACGAAAAAGTGTGTTTTAGTGTGAGCGCTGTGCTTCAGGATGGCACGACAGGAAAGCACAGCGACACCGTTTTTTCCAGTTTGACTCTCTTTGTACATGCTGCTCCGTTGAACCCACACAACGTACTGTATCACACCTTGTGTCACCTCGGCAGCTTACGTCACCCTCGGTGCTGTGCTTACGGTCGGTGTCGCACGGCGTTTTTGCAGGTAGTGCGTCCCGGCCGCTGCTCCGGGCCAGTTCAAACAGGGTGTTGAATTCACATTATGCCAGTGAAATCTCACTTTTTAAGCTCAAGGCACGGATACAAGCCAGGAGAGGTCAGATGTGTAATTTTTTTCTATAAATAGGACAAAAAAAACATGTATATTTTTGAACTGGGCAGGAAGGCAAGACTAGTCCAGCAAAGAGGAGGAAGAGGAAGAGGAAGAGGTGCAGGGTTTTCGTCCATAACGCAAAGAGATTTTGACATAGGATTATTGTATATTTTTCTATTAGCAGAGATAGTCAGGAGGAAGATTTTGGAGATAATCTTTTGTATATTTTATATATGGGGCGGGGAGGGGCTGTTAGCTGGACAGTCACGGGGCCACACAAAACGCTTTTCCTCCCAGCTGTTTCTTGCTAAACAACAAATAATCTATTTTCGATTTCACGGAGCTGGTTAGTCGGAGGCCGAGGCGCAACAGAGAATGTATCACGGTTGAATCAGGTATTTTACAAGGTGTGAGGCGAGGCCAGGTATCTTAGTAACGATTGTTTTTCGGCATCTTTGGGCGGGGTAGGGGGGCGGGGCGTTAGCAGGAAGACGGTGAAACAAAAATTGTATAGATTTAAGAAATTTTTGTGTTCGTTTGTTTTTTTTTGTGGGCTCGTTGAAGAACTTGATTTGTTATCTTCTATTTGATTCCGTGTCTGATTCTTTTTTTTTTTAAACAATCGCAGGGCTTTTATTTTCGAAGGTGAAGGGGAGAAAAAGAGAGAGAGGAAAGCAAGGAAGTAATTAGCCATCAGAACAGCTGGATGTGAGCAGATGTTTTTTAAGGAATATAAGGTGGAGGATTTCGCTGGCAGGTTTTTTGCATTTAGTTTAGGTGTCTTGCTCACACGCACACTTGGACACACAATTTGTTAACAATAATACGACACGGTTGCGGTCTTTCTCTCTCTATTTACTCCTCGAATTTGTCCAGGAAGTGCAAAAATGAAATACTAACTGGTTTAGGGTTGATTTGCCCAGATTGAACAGTGACTGAAACCTTCAGCATGCAGACACACAGAAAACACACACACAGTCCTCACCCAGGTTTGAACCCTTATTGTTGTTGTTGATGTTGTTATGGACTTCTATGGTGCTGATCTGATCTGATCCTTCACCTGACGCACACACAAACACACACAAAAACCCCAACCACACACACACGTGCAGACATACATACATCTCAAACACAGTACTGAACTGCCTATACCTTTTCTTTGTCTTTTATTCCTTCTTTTTAGTTTATTTTTCCTTTTTTTGTTGCATATTGTATCGATAAATCGTATATAGATTTACACACAACACTTGTCTATACCTCTCCTTCAAACTTTACCCAATGAGAAACGAGAAATGCACCCTACTGCTACTGTACCATACAACTGTACTATTGAATATTAAACTATTCTCTCACTAGATATATATATATGTATATGATATATGCTTGAATTATGTGATTATAGTTGTAATATACATAATTGAATATATTACAGAGAAACCCATCTGAATCATTTTGTCAGTTTTTTCTCAGGTGTTTTTGTCTGAGGTATTAAATACACGTATTAAAAAAAAAAACACGCAAAAAAGTCTTTGATTGGATCACAGAATCTGTGGTTTGTTTTGTTTGGTTTTTTGGGGGAGGGACGGGGGGGGGGTAATATTTTATTTTTCTTGTTGCATTTCAGAGCTGTTTGGATTTATTGTTAGGATTCTGTTAAACCCCAGTTTATTACTAACTCACTACGGGGCAGAAAACGCTCTCCTCAGACCAAGTGACCGTTCACTAAGCCCCGCCCCCTTCAGTTACTGTTGCTACGGCCGTCAAGCTTTCCATTTTAGTGGCGTTTTACCTCTCGAAAATCTGAATTATTTCCTTTAATGTCAGACATGCAGCTTGTTCGATCTAGTCCACGATCTTCAGTTTTACCGGCTAAAATGAGAACAACTCCATCGCTGTGTCTGAAATCCCTCCGTTGTTCACTCATTCACAAATCTCTACATAATAAAAACTCCATTATTTACTCAATGGTGAGCAAGAAATGGAGATTTTGGATGAATCGCTGTCATTTTGTCATCACTGACAGCTGTCTTTAAAAACGTATTGACGCAATACAGAAAGCAACTTTTTTGTTTCATCGTGCAAATTTATATTAAACAATAAAGAAAAAATGTCATTCACATTCAGAATTTGGACACCAATCGGTAACAGGACTGATTTTGGACACAGCGACAGATTAACCACTCAAAATGTTTAGTATTCTTTGAAACAAGAGGACCTTGATTTTAAACATAAGTGGACAAGCAGCCTCTCATTAGATTTGCTCATTAGATTTTATTAGCTACAGCTAGCTTGCTAACTAACATTTACTCAGTCGTAAACGGTAAAAACACAGCTGGAGACCGACTCGTATGCAAATGAGAAACGTTTAAAAGGGTCTTAAACATGCATTTGATGGCTACATGCATTGTATCATGCTAATGTGCTGTAATGCTGTGTAATGATGCAGAAAAGATGGAGGCAAATGTCACTGGAAGATTTCATCAGTTGTGGCCAACTAGCTAATTAAGCTAATGTTATTCTTTCTCCGGCTGACTTTTATGTTTCCAGGTCATTGAGACCTCTGTAAAAGGGATCATAAATATGCACCACATACAGGATGTAATGCTGAAACACTGAGGCTAAAGAAACACGTCCCTGCTCGACCATAGGAAGACGCGGAGCAGTGTTGCTCTTGTTTTGCAGCAGTTGGCTTTATTGTATTTCCTTTAAAAAGTCAAAATTGGATTACTTCTTTATATAGTTAACCATGCTTGCTAATGTTACAGTTAAAGTTACGGTCGCTGAGCTATGATTGGACAGTTGCTGTTTGGGGGAGGGGTTTAGTGAACGGTTTATTTAGAGATGGCAACTAAACCTCATTTAAAAGTTTAAAAGTTTTTGTTGCCTGCTTCACAGCTGTAGTCGCTAGTATTATAATTGCTATTGTTATACATTTCTTTTCAGTTTCATGGAACAGCTTGTTTTCTTCAAAGTAAGCTGTGATTTGATTCTTGCATAAATCCCCTTTGATTCCCCAGAACAACTTTTCACTTGATTTCCCATGAGCCTGTTTGCTGTTGGCACCATCCGCAGACTTAAGTGAACCCCAGGTGTATTATGGGAGCTGTAGTTGTATCCTTGATATATTTACACACTATATATTTTCCTTTTTCTTGTTTGATTTGTTTTTTTTTGGGGGGGGGGATCTGTTTAAACCTGATACACAGACAAAAACTTTTGAATTTAAATCCCTGGAAGAAAAGTCTCAGAGCTTCTTACGTTTCCATCTGTTGGTGGAAGAAGAAAGCCATGTGTTTTTTTCTTTTTTGATATCTGGGATTTTTGATTCACAGACGTTTCAGAAACTTTTTGACAGTGCTATTTTTCTATGTAACTGTGTTGTTGAGCGTGTTGCAACCTTTTCTGGCGGCCGTTTGAGGCCCACTCTTCACATGGTGGCGGTGACAATTTACTGCTGTACGATAAAACAGCATTGCGGGTAATAATGACAAGAATAATAATGTACACAGCCATGTTATTTCTCCTTCAATTTTGTGGATTCTCAGATAACTTTCTCCATGTTGTGACTGACTGTTATGAACTACAAGTCCCATGAGCGCAACACTACCCCGACTCCTCACCAGTATTGTGTGCTGTCCACAGGGATGATGGCATATGTGTTCTGGCTTCTTTTCCCTCCAAACACCAATAAAGGCTTATCCTTATTCACTGACAGAGCTTTTCTGGTGTCTTGCTGTGTGATATGAAACTACAAACCAGGCGGCACCTGCCACACTGTTGAAGCTAATGTGTGCTTTTTACCTGTACCTGGCTACTAGAGGTTGACTCTGTAGAAAAAAAACATCCCAACAGCACAGACAGGTGCGTACAAAAGGTAATACAAAATATGAATGAAAAATGTTAAACACTATAAGTTAGATTTACAATAGCTAATGTCTTCTAACATGTGTTTTCTGATGGCTTATAACATGTATTGCTCCATTAGGAAGATATTAAGGCTTAAAGAAAAGATGAGACTGGTTCATCTTGTCAACAAATCCCAGAAAATGACCAAAACCAACAAATAATTGTACAAATATTGCCTGTGTGTCTTATTCCTCTGTGCCATAGAGCTGTATTGTTGTCCAAATACTATTAAAAACACAATCACCCACTGCTGCACTGGGAAATATGTTCCTTCTTTAGCGTGAATGGGCAATACACCGTCCTGCTGCCCCAAATCTCACTACAGGACCAAATGTGTATTAATTCGCTGCTGAAAATAGTCCCCAAAAAATGCTCTATTCCCTCCTGTTCGAGTAACGTTTGCTATAAAAAACAGTGTTAGTGTTGGTTTTAGGAAACTTTATATTTGTGAGATGTTTTTTTTAAAGATTTAAAAAAAAAAATTGAGAATGATTAGCTCTGCTGAAAGATGCGTCTCATCTGCTCCTCTCTTCAGAAAATACAAACATTTATCTTCTCTTCTATATATCACACTACCTTCATCACTACAATCAGTATCTACATTATCTTTATTCATAAAACTATATAAAAGAGCAAAGATCCATAACACTACACAGATTTAATATATTTCATCTGGTAAACATTGTTATAGTATCATCTGTTTTTCTCTTTTTAAAGTATGATTATATTTATAAAGGGGAGGTATCTTCATATACATACATATATATGTGTATGTATTTATATATGTATGTATATACTGCATGTGCAAATAAATAAACTACATGTACATTATGGGTTTGGAGAGATTTGAGAGATGTATTTCCATCTTTGGTTTTGGTCTTTTCATGGAATTTGTTGACAACAACTCAAAAAACCTTTTCCTTTAATAACCATCATTTTGCCGTGACTGGCGTTTTGATTGGTGTCTCAGCCTATCACAGTCAGCCGTCATGGTTGCTGCATGCTTGTCCCTCTTCAGCTCCACCCAGGCTGTGCACTGTCGCCAAAGGCCGGATTCGGTGGAGGGTGGTAAACCCCCCCAAAAAAAACCCACAGATGCTACATCCACGTTTTCCTGCAGCCTGAAATGTAATATTAAATTTCCTCTTGTCAATAAAATTGTGAATACTGTTTTTTCCCCCCTCATTGCGACGTAAGATTGAAGTTCAGTTTATTATTGATGAAGTATGCTCATTTTATCTATATTACCTAATTCCTGTGATGTTGTACTGTGCCCCTGTCTGCCTGTATGTGTGAGATGTTTTATAATAAAGAAGAGAAAGTACAACAGCAGACCATTGGGAGGCACTCAGACCCTTCTGACAGCTTCTATGTCCAGACATCAGCTCCACAGTGACAGTGTGTTTGTGCGTGTACAGTATGTGCAGTTACGTGGGAGCTTTTTCTCTGAACACGTGTGTCTGAATGGTTGCGTGTCCTAACGTGTGTGTTTCCATGACTACTGCTATGAATCGTAGGTTCCCTGCACAGATGACACAGTGAAGCCCCCCACCCTCAGTTATGTAACACACACTCGCCCGGTCTGTGCGCCCCTCTGTGTGTGTGTGTGTGTGTGTGTGGGAGTGGATCACCTCACCACCTGTATCTAGTGGGTTGTTTCAGCTGTTCGCCGATGTTTGCGTCACCAGCTCCCCCTTGTCACGCCGCAGACCATCTGCCCAAGCTGGTGCCGATACCCCGAGCCAAAGCGTGCTACATCGGCCTGCTGTGTGCCACACTGTGCCGAGCTGTGCCGGGTGGTGCCAGTTCCCTGTAACCCTACTGCTGAATGTATTTAGACCGGGGGAGTCCCAGAGAACAAGGCCACTTCATATCATGCAGCTAAATCCCTCAGTTGTTTGTTTTAAAGGTCCAGTGTGTCACATTCATGGAGTATAATATTAAAAGGTATGTTTTAATTATTGTATAATCACCTGAATATAGGAATTATTGTGTTTTTCTTACTTGAATGAGCCTTTTATAAATACAGACACTCAAGGTTGCTTTCCATGGAGTCCGCCATGTTGAACCACAGTATAACAGACAAACCAACCACTGGCTTTAGACGGGGGCAGTCGTTTTTTTTGCCAGCGTAGTTTCTCCTTTGCGCTTCGAAGAGGAGGGTCAGTCTGCAACTTCACCACTGGATAAGCTACTAAATCCTGCACACTGGTCCTTTAAGGTAAATTTAATTGGCACAAATCACCAGGCACCAGTATTTATATTCAGGTCTTTCACTTTGTGATATATTTGCTGTTCCTGAAGAGTTCTTTAGGTAAAGTTTCAACTTTTGTTTCTTTGTCAAGCCGCAGTTTACATCACTGTTCAGTCAACAAATAGCCATCAGTGTTAAAGCTTTAATCACATGTTCATAGATGAGCGGAGAAGGAGACTGATAGAAACAAGCTGTCATTACTGAGGTGGCATCTCAGCTGTAAACTCTGTAAAAATGATGTTGCTGTGTAAGGATTTCACAACTTTTACCCCCTACACTGTAAAACTAACTTAATTTTGTAAGTTTAAAAAACATTGTTGATCAAGTAGTTTTAGTAATTTTAAGTGACACTGACTCAGTTTTTTTTTTATTTATACTGTGAAAACAAAATAGCTTGTAAAAATTACTTAATCAGGAATGTTTCTGTAACTTACAAAACTAAGTGTCACGTAAAAGTGCAACTAAAGCTGCTTAATGAATAATTTGTAGAAGTTTGTTAGTTAACACAAACTTGATTTTATTTTGATGTAATCAGTTTTTCAACACATTTGAGTTTAAAAATCGCATTACAGTGTAAAAAATACCAAGTTTATATAAAGGTTTGTAAGCTTTTTAAGTAAAATAAAAAAAGAGTCATGATGACTGTGTGTATGTGTGTGTGTGTGTGTGTGTATGTACATGAGGACAGAAAGTGGACACCATTGTCTGTAGAAGTGTCGAGGAAGAGTCAGAGAGTCACTGGTGGGCAAATTAGAACCACACTGGAGATTACATGTTAGATTCACGCTACTATGAAAGTTGTTCACCTGGGTGTGTGTGTTTGTGTGTGTGTGTGTGTGTGTTGGTTGTGTGTGTGGGAGAGAGAGAGGAGAGAAGGGATGTCCAGCCAATCGGTTTTCCATTTGAGCTCGAGGTGGAAGGATTGAACTCACCTTTCACCCAATTCTCCCTGGATCTAAAGACGACACACCACACACAACAACACACACACACACACCACACAACACATTTAAGGGCAGCTCTGTATGCTTCTTCCTTTTTTTTTATCTAAGTTATTTCATTGAAGTGAGGTATTATCGCCTTAACCCTTTCCCCCATCAGGCTGTTACTCATTACTTAACAAGTTCATTAGTATATTTAAATATTTTTAGGGGGGGAACGAGACAATAATCAGGCACAAGAAGATTTAATTTACAAATTTGGACAGTAAAAAAAATTATAAGTCACTAACAAACTTCAATTTAATTGTACACAGGAAACACACTTCTTTCCCCCTTGCCTCTTTAAACTTCTGCTGTCATCAGTCTAGTCCCACTTGGTTGGCCTTGACAAACCACTCAGGCAAATGTGTCGTGTTGTTGGTGTGTGTGTGTGTTGGTGGTTGTGTGTGTGTGTTTTTCAGCCTCCTCCCAATTCTAAAGGAAATTGTCCCCACCCCAAATTTCCACTCACTTTACTGCCTTAGAAGTCTCATCATCAGCGTAGACAGCATACATTGAAATCAGGGAGCTGCAGTTGCCTCCTGGTGGTTGGGGGCTGTAAACAGAAAACACATAAAATTGAGCGTATAACGTTGAGAGATTTAGTACATTGTAGGAGATGTAGAGTATTAGGAAGGGACAGAGCAACAATAGGATGGAAAACAGAAGAAGGCATCAAACACTGAATTGTTGTTCAATACTGGAGTAAAGGAGGGTTGTCATCATGTCGTTCTTTAAAATGAATACATGTGGCGGCTCTTTGTTAATTTAGACCACAAATTGGATGTGTTGGAGATGTGAACTTATTAGAAGATCATTACCTGAGAACTTGCTCAAAGCCAATTATACCAGCAATTTAAACTTGAAAATTAAAGCAGGCATCATTTTCAGGAGCAGTTTGAGCATTTAGCAGCAGTAATTATGTAATCAACTCCAACTGCAAATGGACAATGATTATAAGCCCAATCCTTAACTGTGAGTTGTTAACTGGCAAGCTAATTGATTCTGCTCTTTGTTTACCACCTAAAACACTTTCACCCCTGACAATGAATGAGGTTACTTTCTCATACTAATACAATTTTATAATATTTTACAGGAGAAACCTTTTTTTTGACCAAAAGTCCAGAGACTCACTCGTTTCAGACTTAAAGCTGCTTCTAAATATATTTTTGGCCACTTTGGAAAGGCCGAGTTCAGTAGACACAGCAACCTTAACTTTAATTCGGACTTGTGTTTCTGGTACTGTTACTTTCTTTAAGTGTATATCCAACATATTACTCTCCTTTTTGCTCTGTTTTAGTCCTCACGGAACTCCTGAGAAGAAAAACCTTTTTTAAGTGTCCACCAGCTAGTACGCTAACTTGGTGTTTGGACGTTTTGTTATTTTTTTATATTTCTATAAGTCATGACCATTTTTAGTCCCATTTCTGGTGGCAAATTGATATTACTTTTGCTGACCAGAATCTGAAGGAGGGACTGTTGAATGAAACAGAATGAATTAAAAATAGAATCGAAGCTATTTGGAACTTGTTTTGTCAGAGTAAACACTTATTCCCCCAAAATTGTGAGGTT